CATTGTCCACCAATGTAAGGAGCATTCTTCTACTGACCACCAATGTAAGGGGCATTCTTCCACTGACCACCAATCTAAGGAAGTTCTTCTCCCACTGACCACCAATGTAAGCATGTAGGGGGAGCTTTTCCAATGACCTTCAATATAAGAGAGCACTTTTCCACTGACCACTAATATAAAAAGACACTACAGTTTTCACACACTGCATTTCTGTTCATTATTATAATTTGTTTCATTTCATTATTATTAGTGAAAATATTCTGACTCTGATTGTTGTATTAGCGATTTATCCCTTGCTGAGACCTCTATGCCTGGCCTGTATAAGCAGATATAATCACCGCGGACAATCCTTATCAGATAGCTGAACTCACCAAATACATTTTCATCCACAAAATTCTTTATCAAATGCAGCAGATTACAGCAGACTACAGGCTGCAGCAGATTAATGAACAGACGGTATTTGAAGGTCAAGAATGATAATGTTTCCAAGCTAGCATGTACATGTGGTCCTGCTATAGGCAGCCATGACACTAACGACTAGTTCTTGAAGAAGGGGGAAATACATCAACGGTGGGAGGGAACACAGAAAAACGGTGCAATAACCAAAACGACCACAAGATGTCAGTATAATAACCAGCTATAGGAAAAGGAAAATGAACTATGTGATTCTCATATATTTTATGAATATATATATATTCTCTATATTATATCCACCCTCCTGTTCAGTATATACCCTGATCTGTATTATATGCACCCTCCTGTTCAGTATATACACTGCTCTATAATATATGCACCCCCCTGTTCATACACTGCTTTATATTATATGCACCCTCCTGTTCAGTATATACACTGCTCTATAATATATGCACCCTCCTGTTCATTATATACACTGCTCTATATTATACGGTGCACGTTTCAGTGTCACATAACATTATGAAATACATTGGGTTCAATTTGGGATTTAATTTGGATTCATATTTTGTATTTTCTTTTACGCTGCCCATCGAAATTACTGGTTAATTTCAAAGTGAAAACAGATCTCTGCAAAGTAATTAAAACAAGTTACAAAACGCGTTGTCCTTTATATGTTAAACATTAATTAGAACAAACAGTTTTTATTTGAAAGAAAAAGGCTGCGATGTGCAGAAGTAGGTTGACTTTCAGCTGGCATGAGTGTTATATGTCTCAGACAGTGACTATGGAGGAACAATGTGTAATTTTGTAATTATTTACCTTACTTTACAAGTATGAAAACTAGTAAAATGCACAGCCTGACCAAAAAAAAGTCACACACTCTAACATTTTGTTGGCCCGCCTTTAGCTTTGATTGCGGCACACATTCCCCATGGCATTGTTTTGATAAGCTTATGCTACGTCACAAAATTTAGGGGGTTATTCGGAAAGCTGCCGATGGCCGCCGAGTGAATAACCCAGCCGAAGTGAAGTGAGCAGAACGCTGTTCGGCTATTCAATTCAGTCTTGTACGGCTGATTTCAGCCTTACATCGGCTAAAATCAGCCGTACATCGGCTGCCTTCGGTCTGCATGTTCGGCTGAGCTGAAGTGCAGGAGTTCGACTCAGCCGATCCAACATCTGGATCGGCTGAGCCGAAGCTCCGGCAGCTCACTCGCTGCCGTTCGCTCCTATTCTCATGGGGGCAGAATGGCATTGAGTGAATAGCCTAATGGTGCAGAGTGGCAGAAAAGAATGATAAAAAAAGTTACAAAATAATGTAAAAACATTTTAAAAAAATAGGAAAATTGAAAAATAAATCAACCCAGTTGTTATTGTTTAATGGCAGATCAGCGTCCCCAGGTCATTTGGGGATGCTGATCTGTCATTATAACAAGGTGGAGTGAGATCACGACTGGCTTCGCCCAGCTGTCATTTGCGTGGAGATCGGTTGACTTCGGCAAACCTTTCTTCACGCTTCGGCTGTCACTTCGGCTCAGTCGAGCCGAAGCATATGCCTTCGGCCGCTGAATGGGCTATTGTGAATAGCCCATACAGCACCCCTCTGGCTCGACTGAACCGAAGGGCAGAGGCGGCCGAAGAGAGCCGAAGGATCAGCCGAAGCTACAGCTGGATCCTTCGGCTCTTTAGTGACTAACCCCCTTACTTTCATCCAGAGTTGCATTCATTTTTCACCAAGATCTTGTAGTGATGATGGGAGAGTCGGACCTCTGTGTAAAGTCTTCTCCAGTACATCCCAAAGATTCTCAATGGGGTTAAGGTTTGGGCTCTGTTATGGCCAATCCATGTGTGAAGATGATGTCTCATGCTCTCTGAACCACTCTTTCACAATTTTATCCCCAATGAATCCTGGCATTGTCATTTTGGAATATGCCCAATGTGCCATCAGGGAAGAAAAAATACATTGATGGAAAAACCTGGTCATTCCGTATATTCAGGGGGGCAGCTGAACTCATTTTTGGGGACATAACATTCCTGAACCTAGATCTATTATACCGTGGAAGGCTCTGACCTATTTGCTTAGCTAAATTCTTGTGGTGACCTTTTTTTTTGGCCAGGAAGTGCATGTTGTTTTTTATTGAAATATTTGACAACATTTTTCAACATATAAATAAAGAATAAAAAACAGTTTTAGGATCCAACATCAAAAACAAAAAAAAACTGTGATGGAAAAGCATAAAAGGAACCAAGATTATATGCGAGTGCTTGGACCTGTAGCTGTGAATTTTTGGGTTGTCCAACTGCTGTTGGTTTGCACCTAAAAAAAGGTAGATGAACGAAGGAAACAAAACAAGTAGTAAAGTTGGCCATACACTGCTGGAATTTCAGCAGGGTTCGGCCAACATTCAAGCTGTGTGTGGGCCTTCTGGCACCATCTAGTTCAACAAAAGTCGGTTATTTAATTAAGTTTTGTTGAAGGAGCCGGGTGTAAAATTGTTGGCCAAACAGTGATGTTGGCCAACCAGCTGCAGTCAATGTTGAGGTATTCTGACAACAGTAGGCACCAAAAATAGCCCAGCAGGGTTTTTTTTAGCCTGGATCGGGGAATCTGTTAGATTTCTTTCATCCAGCCCAAAGGTTGAATGAAAGAAATCTATGTGTATGGCCAATGTAAGAGGGGGTGCAGGGAAGGATTAGAACATGGAGGGGAGGCTAAGAGTCTTGCTGCCATAGTGGGCGTAGAGTCAGCTAGTGGTGATATACTGTATGACTTCCATATCTCCGAATGTTTATCTAGCTCATTATATAGCCTAGCTGTGGGGTTTCCAACAACCTAATCTCCTTAATCTGATTACATAACTCAGTTTTAGTGGGAGGGGTGGATCACTTCCAGGTCAGAGCTCTAAGGCATTGACTTGCTGTAATCACATGAGTAATACGTTTTTCAGTGGATATAGGGATCCCAATCAGGTGAAGGCCTACAACAGGGGTATTCAAACATAGGCCCTCCAGCTGTTGTGGAACTCCAAGTCCCATAAAGCATTGCAAAATGCTGACAGCCAGAGGCATGACTTCCAGAAGCAGATGTATGATGGGATTTGCAGTTTTATCACAGCTGGAGGGCCAAAGTCTGGCTGCCCCAGCCCTAGAAGAGGGAAAATATATGTTCTTAAAAATATATATTCAGTGCACATTACTGCCTGCATACATTTTATGTCTTCATACTTGTTAATTGGCTAAAGGCACCAGCAGACGTCAGATGTTTATTTCCAGACCTCAACCAGATCAGGGTGTAGGAAGCTGGAAGTGTACCGCTCCTGGCATTCCTGCTAGCCCTGGCCAAGGCATATGTTGGCTATGAAGAAATTCAGCTTCTGTGTGCTATTAGCATTGTATGGGTCATCATTGTAACACACTAAGAGTAAAACAATGTCTTCATGTGCTCTTCTCTAAACACTGTTGTGTTCAGTCTGTGACCGGTTTAATCCTTGCATGTCCTGTACCTCAGATCCCCCTAACCGTGTTGGTCCTTGTATGTGTGTCAGTGTGCCTCTCTTGTTGTCTGCCACAGGGTCAGCGTGTCTCCATAACTCGCAGGGTGGATGGTAGGTGGCTTGAAGGGCGAGTTGAAGGTTCTCTACGTCTTGGTCTGTTTCCAGCAAATTATGTGCAGATCAAAGATGGTCCTTTGGAGAAAAAGAAGGGAATGCCTCAAGTGAAGGCAATGAAACGTACCAAGCCTATAGTGCAGGTCAGTACTAACAACACCTAACTTACTGACTCAACCCAACCCATCGGTGGAATGCTCAGACCTAAACTATACGTGTCTGAGGGACGTTCTGTTCTTTATAGATACTCCCTGTCCTATCTCATGTGCGGTATGGTAGGCAGAAAGGAAGCATTAGAATTTAGGGAATAGAAAAGGTAGTTTAGGACACTTTTATAAATGAAGCCAATTGTAAAGGTATTGCTTGGCAAGAAAACTGTCCGCCATTAAAAGTGTACCTGTACATATGCATACAAGGCAGAGTAAAGCTGGCCATACACTAGCAGTCTTTCTCAAGAAGCACAGAGACCCAGTTATGATGTCACTTGGTCTAAAATATGGTATTGCATGTTGATTGGGGTGGTGGAGGAGTGGGGAAGGCATAATAGAAGCAGATGCAACTCAGGCTTTAAAAATAACTCTTCCCATCATACATGGTTGGTATGAAAGCTTTTCTTGTAATAACCACTTTGGTACGTCTGCATCAAACATATGCTAGGGCATGACGGAGTTCATTTTTGGAGGGTCTTGGGCTGTTCTCATCCCTGGTGTAAATACATGCATACAACCTACATGCTATTTGAGACAGAGAGATTCTAATAAACTTCCTGTTTTACATCAAAGGCTGATCAGCATATTTGGAATGAGCAATTAGCACACTGGCCCCATGCAGGCCTACGATGGAGGACATGGATGGACAAGGATGGCAGGGCGTCTGAGTCTACTACTCCAGGATGTAGAAAAGCTCCAGCGCTTGTTATAGAACTGCTTTACTACATAAACCTTATATTCAGAATAATAAATGTGTTTTCCTTATCAGGACTCCAATGGCGTCACACTCAGGGAAAAACCGCGTATTGTCAAGGCACCTGCATCCAATAAACTGCAGCAGCTACAGGGGACTGTGTAAGTTACATTCGGACCCGAGACAAATGAATGATGTGGATTATCTGTCAGATTTCTGTGTAATAAATATTTGTTTTGTTTTCTTGTCTAGAGACAAAGTTCTACAAAATTTGTAGTTTAGTAAGCGATGCGTTGTTTGTTTCAGCAGGGCGTTTGATTGGTAGGAGACGATGGAGAGTCACCAGCACACACGAAGTTATAACACAAATCCTGGTTTAGTTTATTATAACCTCATCACATAAGTCATAACAAGCCAACGTTTAGGGCAGGGGTAACCAAACCTCCGGCCCTACAGCTGTGGTGAAACTACAAATCCCATGATGCATCTCTCTCCGGGAGTCCTGCCTGTGGCTGTGAGAATCTTGCAATGCCTCGTAGGATTTGTGACTCTCCACCCCAGCTGGGGGGCCGGAGTTTGGCTACCCCTGGTTTAGGGGCTCCTCAGGACCCCTTCCTCAGGGAGACATAGTAAGGATAGGAACCTGCACAGCATCGAATTGTTGGCTTCCACTTGCTGGAGGGAAAGCTGCACTTGATAACCTGCAGTGCAAAGATCTCACTTATTCTGCTTCATCCATTCGCTTAATGTTTGCTTTCCGCACCTCTCCTGCGACTTCCTGATCCTTCCCCAACAGTCATCAGTCTACCAGCCATCGGGGGGCAGCTCTGAAATGAGGAAACAAAATCTTCTCTGCTACCCACATGGCTCCCTCCACACAAAGACAGTGCAGAAGAAGACATAGCAAGTCACTAATAGGGAAAAGATCAGCAGCAGGGAGACAAAGGGCAATACTTTGTCCTCTTCTCCATCTACACCTCCTCTCTCGGTCAGTTAATAACCTCACATGGCTTCCAATACCATCTCAATGCCGATGACACTCAAATCTATATTTCTACTCCACAACTCTCCCCCTCAGTGTCCTCTCGTGTCACTAGACGTGGACCAGTTTGATGATACCCTTCCAAAAAACCCCACAATTTTCTCTGAAATAACTTACAGGGTTATTCACAAAAGGGAGAAGAGTTTGGGGAAGGCAGGAGAAGTGAACAATCTAGGCCAACATAGCTAAACTGAAGTCAGTTGAATTGGAGAATTTTTCCAAATCGGCTATGTTGGCCTAGATTGTTCACTGTGTGTTTCGGGTCAATATCCTGTTGGAGGACCCATGACCTGCAGCCTGAGACAGAATATGTTTTGCTCCAGAATTCCTTGATAGTCTTGTGATTTCACTGTCCCCCGAACAGATTCAAAGCAACCCCTGCAAGATATAGCAAAGCAGCCCCAAAACATGGCTTCCAATACCATCTCTATGCAGATGAAACTCAAATTTATCTTTCCACTCCACAACTCTCCCCCTCAGTGTCCTCTCGTGTCACTAATCTACTAACTGACATATCCGTCTGGATGTCACAACACTTCTTAAAACTCAACCTTTCAAAAACTGAGCTCTTAATATTTCCCGCCCGTGCACCTTCCCCCAACGTTTCCCTTGAGATTGATAACACAACTATCCACCCCTCCTCCCATGCGAAGGTGGTAGGTGTCATCCTGGACTCGAACCTCACCTTTCTTCCCCACATCCAATCACTATCCAAATCCTGCCGCCTTCACCTTAGTAACATCTCCAAAATACGCCCCTTCCTCACCACTGGAACCTCAAAACTACTCATCCACTCCCTTGTTATCTCTCGTCTTGACAATTGCAACTCCCTCCTCATTGGCCGACCTCTACACAGGCTCCTCCTTCCTTCAGTATATCATGAATGCTGCTGCTAGACTCATTCACCTAACCAACCGCTCAGTGTCTGCAACCTCCCTCTGCCGATCCCTGCACTGGCTTCCATCCCTTGCCCCTCTCTGCCAATCCATCCACTGGCTTCCATCCCTCGCCACCTCTGCCAATCCCTGCACTGGCTTCAATCGCCCAAAGGATAAAATTCAAAATATTAACAATCAGTTACAAGCCTTCCACAACTCTGCCCCCGGCTATATCTCCAACCTTGTCTCAAAATATCCCTAACAGTCCCCTCCGCTCTTCCAAAGGCCTCCTGCTTTCCAGTTCCCTCGTCAACTCCTCCCATGCACGCCTCCAGGACTTCTCCAGAGTCTCTTCCATCCTCTGGAACTCTTTACACCAACCCGTCCATCTATCTCCCACTCTGACTGCCTTTAGGCGATCCCTAAAGACTCATCTTTTCAGGGAAGCCTATCCCACCTCAACCTAACCACTCAACCATCACATTCTCAAACAATTCATCCCCACGCAGCTCCCTCCTCATGTATCACCTCCCCCTCCCTCTTTTAGATTGTAAGCCCTCAGGGGCAGGGCCCTCCTTACCATCTTGTCTTGAATTATTACTATAGATCCTGTTCAAGAAATATAATTTCTTGCTGCTTTCAGGTACCGAGCAGTATTTCCTTTCTCTCCTAATAACTCAGACGAGCTGCAGTTGGTGGCAGGGGATGTGGTGACAGTAACACAGCAATGTGATGATGGTTGGTTTGTAGGTGAGTGACTGTAAACTAGAAGGAAAGATCCCGACAGGATGTATCACCTGAATGTGTAAGTCATCCATCTGTATGTTTCCTAGGTGTCTGCTGGAGAACGCAGCAATTTGGGACCTTCCCTGGCAATTATGTTGTTCCATATGTGACTTCTTAGTCCTGGAGACTTAACAAGAGTTTGTGGACATTCTACAGAATCCTTCTTGGGCTGGTAGTGCCAACCCCTTCTGATTCAGTGACTTCACGGATAGCTGTGGCCACACTGGATTACAATGGAGAGATTACTGAAACAACCATTTACCATATAACAGCCATGACCTTCAACCGATGGGGAGCTAGATGACGCAACTCGCCTTGTCAGCTGTCCACTTATTTCATAGACATGGAACAGAGCGCTGCGAATGAGGAATAATTACTCATATTATTCCTACTATATACCATATTTTTGTTTCAATGTTTCAACTTGTGTCCAATTCTGTGTTTTGTGATTGTGATAATAACCTTTAACATTTCCTAATTTTCTGTTTGTTCATTTTTTTTACATATGCCGTCTTTTAAATGCACCTTATACTTGCTATGTCTTCTTATTATTTGTTTTGTTGATAATACAGTTGGTCTTATAATGGATACAGCCTAGCCCTTTTTTTGTCCTGGATGTACTGTATATATTGGTGTGAATATACCCTTACATTGGCAAGATTCTGGGTTTTTAGCTCTCCATACAAACATATACTCAGATGTTAGCAGTCTTGCTGTTGTGGATGGATAAATGGTAAATAGAAGAGCTAAAATACGTTCCTCACCTGGAGAAAATGCTGCTTCATTCTCCTTTTTGTGTTATTCACGAAACCGAATGCCTAGGTATTTGTCCATGTCTTCTTTCCTGAAGCAGAGGACCAGATTTCAGATCCTTTTCAGTGGAGATCATGTTACCAAATGCCTGGGCTTTTGTTTTCTTGACTAGTACTGGAAGAAGCCTGGAACAAAGCTTGCTCCAACAAAAGTAAGTATTTAAGCCATTATGTTAACCTGTATTGAGAGAAATATGCAGGTTGGTATTGTGACGGACTCCCTGATACCCCGACTGGATATCTCCGTCTTCAGCCCTGGATATCTCCGTCCCTGGGTGCTGGAACCAGAAGCCAGTGACTATGGCATGGGGGCTTACTCCAAGAATCAGACAATACAGAGTTTATACCTCACACAATCAGATAAGCATTCATTGTTACAATGAACAGTCCCCTCCCCCAGACAGCCAGGTGCCGCATTGGATTGTCTTAATTAGAGAAGAGCTTAATCCAATCACTCTAAACAATGGTCACTCCAGACAGCCTGCTGCCTTTAGAAGAATGGTTCACATCAAGTCAAATAGTGACCAGCTCTCCCCAGATAAAATCTGCAGCCCTAGGTGCGTCACAGGTATTGCTGGTCTCATTAATTTCTCTCCTCTCTTGCTTACTTATTGAGAGAGGGATTGGTGATCTGCTGTGTACTTAGGAGAGGCACTAGGGGAATGTCCATAAACCTGAGTACCAGTAATGCCCTGTCCATGACAACCTTGCCAGGCACTATGGGAGAGCTCAGCAACATCTGCTGCCCCCAAAAGAAAGCAGCTTGTAAAGTCAGAGTCATAATCTGCATACTTGGCCTGGGTCTCTGATTTAGTCTTTGGTTGTGTAACTGGGGTCTAGCATGTATTACCCATGGGGTCACCATACAGCAGAAGGAAAGCCTTTCGCAAGCAGTGATTATGCTATGGCAGAGCTTGATACTTCCCTGCAAGCACTTCACAAGGCAGCTCTTTAGATAGGTCTTACAAACTCTTTGGCCGCACGTCCTACATGGTGTGCCCATCACTACTTGCTTTCCTTTACCATAGACCGAAACTCACTTGGCCTGATGTTGCTGAGCTCTCCCATAGTGCCTGGCAAGATTGTCATGGACAGGGCATTACTGGTACTCAGGTTTATGGACATTCCCCTAGTGCCTCTCCTATGTACACAGCAGATCACTGATCCATCCCTCTCTGGGCTACCCTGGTGGTATTTCCAATTCTCAACAGGAAGGCCTCCAAGCTGGCTGGATACACCTAGGTTTTCTGCCCCAGTTGCTTCTCCAGTGGTGCAAAACAGAAGAAAAGAGTCTGAGGCGCGACTGCCCTTGGGGTTGGACAGGTGAAAGTATAGCGGGAGTTACATGGGCTGGGGCATGCAGGGTTAATGCTGGGCCGAGAAACAATAACGTTGATATTTTTCCCTCCGCGACGTATTAAGTATCAGGGGTGGAGGGAGAAATAAAAAACAAAAAAGGTGCACATGAAATGGAGGCAAGTTGAGCGGTGTGTGGTGCGTATATCAACTCACCGTGAGTTGAGTTGTGAGTTGATATATACGCACCACACACCGCTCAACTTGCCTCCATTTAATGTGCACCTTTTTTGTTTTTTATTTCTCCCTCCACCCCTGATACTTAATACGTCGCGGAGGGAAAAATATCAACGTTATTGTTTCTCGGGCAGCATCAACCCCGCCTCAGACTCTTTTCTTCTGTTTTGCACCCATACCAATTGGACACCCCGGTCCATATTGAACTGAAGCCGCACGCCACCCCCACCTTTATACCATCCTCCTCCACACAGCCCCCATTTAACCATACCAATACCCGAAAAGTTCTGAACAACACAGAACCACCCATCCCCCACCCCCCAGGAGAGCGCTGTCACATAGGACTTGAATCCTTAATTTTCCTGCTTCTCCAGTGGTCCCCACCCTCTCTGCACTTGACTTCTCTGTGGTCTAAGTCACCCCCTTTGCCCTCCTGAGGTAACCTCAGACAAAGTGTTCTTTTACAGTGTGTTAGGAGTGATCACTGTCCACACAACTGTCTTTAAGGTTTGAAGATTCTTTACCTGATTGTTCTTCTATTCTGCAAAGAATTCACAGCAGCGATTCTTTGTTTCAAAGTTCAAGCATCAGTCTCACTTCATGACTGAAGTTTCTACAGGAACGCTAGGCCCCTTACTCCACACAAAGAACTAATGGCTCTTCCTCCTTCCCTAAACTTCACTAAGGAGGAACGCTCGAAAAAGTCATCACAGTTAAAGCTACATTAAAGGCAAAGAGTTTTTCCCCTCCCCCCAATGTTAATGAAAGCACTTACCTTAAATGATGTCTCTTAATCCGATCTTCTTTCCTGTAGTTTTGAGCCTTCTCTCCAGCGCTGCTGCGGGTCTCCGATCCAGCGCTGACTCCTCTGTCCTTGCTGGTACTTCCTGTCCCACGGTGTCTGCATGCGGGTGCACGCGTACATATACCTTGTGTCTCTCCCCGCCTCCCGGCTAAAAATCCGAACTGCGCATGCGCCCCCCAAGATGCTTTGCGGCCGCCCGAGCATTTTCGGACGGGAGCACGCTAGCAGTAGATATATGCAAAAACACCGGAGGGTTTAGAAACCCTTTAACAGTTGTTACAGTCAACAGTTCCATATTCCTCTTGGTTGGGAAAACCCAGATACCAAATCTCATTCATCACTCTCCAGACAGATGCAAGACACGATCTCTCAACATTGAGGTCCCTTCTCAAGTGCCCCGCACTATGCCACAGGGGCAAAAGAGAGCCAAAGAGGGCAGACCAAACACAGAATTCCCTAAGGGGAGTTAGTGATATCTCCTCATGGACCTGCAGTATGATAGTAACCAGACATCTAGTATTTTCAGAAAGAAGATGGCAGTGGCGGCCAACAAACTTCGCTCAGTATGGATTTCCTTTGAATACAGATTCACTTTAAATTTTACTAAAAAAAAGTTGATGAATAAACAATGATGATTGATTTTCATGGTATGGAGGTCTCATTCACACTGGGTTTCCTTGGATTTGCTGATGCATGCACAAATCATTTTATTGCACCATGAGAAAAAAAAGCTCATCAATGTCCACAGGAGGGCTGTGTGCTGTCTGAGCCCTTGCATCAGGCAGGCTGATATATTGTTAGGCTAAAAACTTATCTAGGATAGCACCTTCCCTTCATTAAGACTTTGTGAGACAGAAAAAGAGTGCAATTCCCACCAGGGGAACCCCGATCCACCAGCTGTTGGCCAATCTGACACTTTAGGCAATCCGCACAGTTTAAAGGACCAGAGGTGATGTATCTACATATTTGTATTCTAGTGTTGGACACCTAAGGCGTGCACACCTGAATTCACATATCCCTGCGGAAGGAGCATTGAACTGCAGATGATATTACACGAGACAACATAATGATGACCAGCGGCATGAGAAGAGACCAGCAGACACGAGAAATTTATGAAAAGGAAGTAAAGGGCTGGGAAGGTTAAAAGAAAAATTCTGTCCAAGTTCTATTACTATAGATCCTGTTCAAGAAATATAATTTCTTGCTGCTTTCAGGTACCGAGCAGTATTTCCTTTCTCTCCTAATAACTCAGACGAGCTGCAGTTGGTGGCAGGGGATGTGGTGACAGTAACACAGCAATGTGATGATGGTTGGTTTGTAGGTGAGTGACTGTAAACTAGAAGGAAAGATCCCGACAGGATGTATCACCTGAATGTGTAAGTCATCCATCTGTATGTTTCCTAGGTGTCTGCTGGAGAACGCAGCAATTTGGGACCTTCCCTGGCAATTATGTTGTTCCATATGTGACTTCTTAGTCCTGGAGACTTAACAAGAGTTTGTGGACATTCTACAGAATCCTTCTTGGGCTGGTAGTGCCAACCCCTTCTGATTCAGTGACTTCACGGATAGCTGTGGCCACACTGGATTACAATGGAGAGATTACTGAAACAACCATTTACCATATAACAGCCATGACCTTCAACCGATGGGGAGCTAGATGACGCAACTCGCCTTGTCAGCTGTCCACTTATTTCATAGACATGGAACAGAGCGCTGCGAATGAGGAATAATTACTCATATTATTCCTACTATATACCATATTTTTGTTTCAATGTTTCAACTTGTGTCCAATTCTGTGTTTTGTGATTGTGATAATAACCTTTAACATTTCCTAATTTTCTGTTTGTTCATTTTTTTTACATATGCCGTCTTTTAAATGCACCTTATACTTGCTATGTCTTCTTATTATTTGTTTTGTTGATAATACAGTTGGTCTTATAATGGATACAGCCTAGCCCTTTTTTTGTCCTGGATGTACTGTATATATTGGTGTGAATATACCCTTACATTGGCAAGATTCTGGGTTTTTAGCTCTCCATACAAACATATACTCA